AGAACAAGACTCAGTTCATGATCCGGTCGTACGAGCTCGGTATCATGTTTTTACCTCCACTTTCAAGACGTCAAAGGAATGGCGTTCCAACATGTCTAGCAACAACTGAAAGTCGAGCGTCGGAAAACTTTAATGGTACACTCAACACTCAACGAATCGAGCTCCTTCCGTTGCCATATCGTTTTCCACTGATCACCTATGATCCGAAAAAAGACGAACCTTGGGTCTGGGATCTTGTGCGAGAAAGCCCCGACATTTTTTGCAGCGCCTTCATCCCGCATTAAATTGTAGGGCAAATATCATGCAGAGTTGCAGCAACGTTTTTAGATCAACACAGATAGCGCCTACAGGTTGACAATTTTAGAACCTGGCATCTGTTCGCTCTTAAACCTTTTTACGTTTTTATTGATTAGGATAATGTATCACATCGAAAGTCTGGGTAGTCGCAACTATTTGGCGTTTGATCAATGAAACGGACAGCTATACGCTGACAGTAGATCTCGACTTATAAACAATCATGAAGGCGACAAGTTGTGTGAGGCAAGGGCTCTACAAATGATGAACAATATTCTGTTTTCTCAATTGTCTAGATATTGACTTAATCTTTGGCCAGGGTCGTGCTGCCAACAGATGAGATCGTTCGAATGGAATATACTGAGAAGACAACAGTTGCGGATTTACTGAAGACGCTGGAAAAGCGCTGCAGTGTGCTTGAAACTGATTGTGTTGGGGGAATGAGCAGCAAGGACTGTAATGACAATAATTATGATGATGACCCAATTCTCCAAACGACAAACAGTTGTCGGTCTATAGAATTGTTGTGTGGGGAGATCATTCACGGGAAGCTCACTCATGTCCGCACAGCGTCGGGTAAGCTTTTCCTTTTTTCGCTCTGATACTTAAAATGGGTCTGATATCTTGAGTATAGAATTGAACGGTCAAGCGTTAGTGATATCTGAAGTCGACGAGCTCGACATATTAGAGTTCGAGGTGGATAGCTTGCGCTGTTGTAATCCGATGTCGAACTGTAATACTCGGCAATCCCGTAAGATCTCGCCAATCATGAATCTAACTTCTCAAACAGTAATGGAAACAGTACGACCAGCCTCGACAACCTTGACTCAATCGCTTAAAACAACAGACGAAGTATTAATGTGCTCAAAGTGTATTGAATCAACGATGTATTCAACCCGAGCTGTGTGTAAACGTAAACCAAGAGAGAAGAGGAAAACACCTGTGCATCGTTTTGATGTGGCACGACGGCGAGCTCGTCTACGTTTAAAGACGCGTCCGAAACGACTTCGTTCGCTAATTGCTCGTACGAAACGACCTCGTCATAATGCTACTGATCGTACGAACACTTTGCATATTCTTTTACGAGCTGGTATCCAATCAATCGAGTGTATACATCTTATTCAATTGGATGTAAGACGGCTGGTGTTTCTTCTTCGCGATGCAGTATTGGGCAATCATTCTGTGAGCATGTGTGATTTATTATCAATCGCAAAGGCCATGGTGGTAGCTATGACGCATACGAAAGCAGATACGAGTGCAGTCTTGTCCTCTTCGTCACAAGCTGAAAACGAAAATCTGATTCGAAAATTATCAAGGGACATTGCTGGCAAAGGCGGGGGAGTCACTGTTGTGCTAGAGGGTTGGGTCGTCACAGCTCAGTGGGGAACATTATGGCGATCTCAGCGAAGGGAATACGCATGTCTGTGTGACAACCACATGCTTTATTTCTTTTCGAGCCAAATGCAGTGTTCTGATTTTATATTTGACTTGGGACGAGAACGTGAAGGTAGTGCAAGTGAAACTAGCAAACTTCTTCTGAAAAACAACACTCCGTTAAGTCAAGTGGATTTATCTGAGACCAATTGGACGATCCGTAGGAGTTATAAAGACGAGAGCCACGGAGCGCAGCATCGTAACGCGTTTGCCTTTTTTGACGCTAATGGTAGAATGCGACTGGTTCTGGATTTTAATACTAATGCTGAAGCGACAAAGTGGGCAAGAGTGATAGCA